ACAGTAGGGCTGAAAATGCTATGGCCCTACTGCCCTAAGTCCTCCGGCTTCCCACAACCATCCCCAAAATACCTGGCCTGTCTCCTCCAAAACTATGCTGACTCTCAGGCTTTCCCCTCCAAATGACATTGCCTTCATCCAGATAAAATAATATTACCATTTAGCAAGAATGTACCTTTATGCTCTTTAATCAGTGACAACCTCCATCGACAATTAATTCCTGCAGAGATAATTTGGTGCTTGCAAGCAAATACTGGGGAGAGATAAAAATACTGAGAAACAGGCATGGAGGGCAAAACTCTTCGCCTGAAGAAGGGAGGGTGTAGACTTCATCCAAGAGTTTCTCTGGTGGTTTTAATCAGCCAGGCTTAAACTCACAGTGCAGAGATTCAGCTCAGGTTCAACCATCATCGCACCTCACCTTGAGCCACCCACTCACTGTGACAACAGCCTGCCTGGAAACCCTCGTGCTTTGTCACAGCTTCTTTTTACAGCACCTTTGGCACAGCTTGGCGCTGAGTTCCCACCTGGTCCCCTCTAAGCATCTTTGGAATCTCATGTCCCAACCACTCAGCGTCTTAGGGATGACCACAAAGTGCTTTGCAAGGCCCTGCAGCACACTGCTCTGGACAGGAATACACTGTTTTTTTACAGGGGATCAGCAGGCACAGCGGGTGCTCCAGATCTCCCTTATTTCTGTCACCCATCGTGCATCTTGTCCAGCCCCATCTCCTGGTATCCATGCCACCTCTCCTTATTTACCCACCTTCCAAACACCCAGACCAGCTGACCCAACGTATAGACCAAACCTCCCACTCCCATGGTGCACTGCCAGCATTCCTGTCCCAAATAGGGCGGGAAAAACCTTGAGGTTGAGGATCAGATTGAGATTTCCACTGGGAGTGGTACTACTTGCCTGAATACAGATCTCCCTCTCCTTCAGAGAGCAGCAAGCAGAGCATGAGGGGAAGGAGTTTCAATCAAGGTGTTGGGATTTGGGCTTAGTCCAAAAAGCTCTGTTTCATTTCTAATGCAATAGCTGAGTGCTGCTGCCAAAAGGAGCCGCTGATGCTGACTTAGTGAGCTCCAAAATCTGTTTTGGCTCAGCAACCAGCAGCCACTCTTGTTTTTAAGTGGATTCACTAAAACAAGGCTCTTCAGGACCCCCTTCCCAGTTCAGGCTGTGGCTGATGCTGTGGCTTCCCTCCCTCCGAAACACCCCAGTAATTAGCTTTCTGGCTTCACTGTGTCGCATCACGAAGACATCCAGCAAACAACCACCAAAGCCAAAACCTGATTAGAGGGCTCAAACAGCTGCTCCCTCTGCAAAGATCTGGCATCCAGAGCAGGGCTGGAGGCCAGAGAAAGCAGGGAGGGAGGGAGGGAGGGAGGACACCCCGCTGGAAAGAATAAGGCTGAGCCCATTCCAGGAAAGGCTGCAGTGCTGGATGCAGGAGGAAGTTGAGGCAAAACAGCCTGACCATGGAAGGGATCAGAGCTGTTCCTCAGCCTCCCCTTTTCCCCTCTGCCCAGGAAAACCTCAAGCAAAAGGAAGAGCACTGAAGAGATAGGGGTTTTTTTTGGTTTACTGGATTTTTTTCATCAAAGCAGTCTCAGGCTTTGGGACTGCATGGAGGAGCAGAAAGGATGAGGGAAGGACAGTTGGAAAGGAAGGGATGCACACACAAGGAATAGACTGTTTAGATCCATACTAGTGCCATGTAAGTATATGGAAATGAGATCCTGCCTCTGTCAAAGCACATTCACAGCACCCCAGGGAGTTCACTACAATTACTTTTCACATGGAAGCCTGAAAAATCATAGAATGGTTTGGATTAGAAAGGACCTTAAAGATCATCTAGTTCCAATGCCCCTGCTGCAGGCAGAGATATCTTCCACTAGACCAGGTTGCTCAAAGCCCCATCCAGCCTGGCTTTGAACGCTTACAGGGATGGGGCAGCCACAGCTTCTTTGGGCAAAACTTATCTCCTATGTCTCACTTCTTTCCATAGATCACAAGTGACAACTTTTCCAAGAAAGCAAGTGGTTGTTTTTAATAGCTGACAGCTTTTATTTCCACTCTCCACCCACTCTGTTCTCACAGCAAAGCTAGAGACACGACGAGCTCTTTAAGTTTTAGCAGACAGTTTGAGCTGAAACTCTCCAAAACAACCCATGGCCATGGCCTTGAGAGATAGAAGTGGGTACACACACCATCCCCTGCCTGCAGACAGTCTTCCTGGGACTGGGGACTCCAGTTCTGTGTCAGGAAATCCCCCAAACAGTGTGTGCCAAATGTAGGGAGTATCACTGCTTGTTTTTTTCTGAATAAGAATTTATCGTGATTGCCTAATGGAAGATTTGCTGGTTGTAACAGAAAGCAGATGCTGTAGGGATTTAGTGTAGTTTAGTAACTGTACAGTGCCCCTAGCACACAAGTAGAACAGTTGATTTGAACTTCATGGACGTTCTGGATCCTACAATGAACTGGAAAAGCTGATGGTGCTTCCCAGCTTTCTTTCAGACAGAAAATTGGTGAGATATCAAGATTCCTCATACCCAGAGGTACTACCTTTGCTTTCCTGCAGAAGATGCTGGGACTTTTTTCTGGGCTCTCTCCCTTAGAGAGCCACTATGAATTCAGGAACAATTGAGTCCAGCAATTAAAAATGTCACTTTGCATTTTCTGGCTGGCAGAAAGCAGTTCTCCTGTGAAATTCAGTTACTTTTGCTGGAATAAAAAACTCAAAGAACCTGGAGAAATGCTTTTGAGAAAGAGGCCTCTGGGAAACTTCAGCATAAACAGAACAGGTGTGAGCTCAAATCCTTTTTTTTTTTAATGGTGATTTTTGTGGTCAAGGCAGATGGGCAGGTCTGATCAAACAATTCTACCAGACAGCAGCATCAATGAGTCTGCTACTGCTCAGCACGTATGCCTTCTGGTGCCAAAATCGCTGGCAAAGTCCCCTTTGTCTGGTGCAGAGGCAGCAAAACAGGGATCACCTCCATGTCTAGTTATGCACACAAGACCTTGCTGGCATGTGGGACCCACTTCTAGTCTCCATTCCCATTGCCAGCCTGTGCCAGAAAGAGCCCCTGCTCAACCATCCTCTGCTGATTGCTTTAACTTTAAGGGTCCCTTCCTACCCAAACTGTTCTATGATCCTACGAAACTGCAGAGGTGGGTGGTTGCAAAAGGCTTGAATTCACTCCATGCTTCAGCAGGGATGGGTTTGGACTAGGTGAGCTTGACACCTTACAGGTGAAGACCACGAGGTCCAGAAAGCTTTCTTGGAAGGACCTCATGCTCTACAGACAGAAAGATTTCTTGGAAAGACCTCATGCTCTAGGGAGCAAGGCAGCAAAGGATCATACCTGACTGAACACCAAGGGCTACAAGTGAGATGAAAGCCAGAAAAGGAGATAGAGAAAAGCTCTGAGATGTTCGGCAGAAGACAAGCAAAGTTTGACCCTCTCCAACTGGATCCAACCATCTGTCATTAGACGTAGGAGTGAATGTATGTGTCCCCGAATGCAAACCAGCAAAGGGGTCACAAATACATCCTTACCTTTTAGTCTCAGAGAAAGTTATTTAGAAATTCTCAGGCATCATCTGTCTGCTGTGTAAATGGGATATGCAAGGCATGTTCTCCCTCACAGTGAGACCAAACCATGGTGGGCCCTGACTTCAGAAGACAGCTGTGCACAGAGTATCTTTCTCCTCCAGCAGACAAGGAGAATAAACTAAAACACACACAGGGCTTTGCACAAACCCCGTGACCAGGCAGAGCTGGTGTGGAAAAGCCGAAGGCAGAGCAGAGAGAAGTGAGATCTCCTTCCACAAGGAGCCCAGTGGGATGTTCAGGGGCTCAGCCCCCTCTGGCCACACAGAAAGAGTCAGTTCAGCTCCATCCCTCCCTTCACACAAAGCCTTTCTGTCCACACCCCCCCAGGACTGCCCTGGCCCAGACAGACACAGCTCTGTCTTGCTGAAGGCCAGCTGATTTTCCAGGCTGTCAGCGGGGGCGCAGACGATGACGGCAGCTCAGGCAACCCTACAATGCTGAAATGCCACCAAGCTGTGTGCAGAACAGCACGGGCTGGGCAGAGAGGGCTCCTTCTCCCCACAGGCAAGGATGGAAACCCAGATGTGTTAGGTGCTGGGCTACTGCCCCTCCCCAGCCAGTTATTGTTGCTCTCTGCAATTCCTTGTACTTCACGGCAGTCAAAACACTGGTCTCATGGTCAACCCCAAGGAGAATGCCATACCAGGACATACAAATTCCCAACAGTGCCCTTAGGTCCTGAAGTGCATCCTCTGGGCAGGCACTGAGGATAGCAGAAAAGGGACTGGCAGTGTTTCCCCCAGCCTCCCACAGCCTGCCTCCATGATAGATACAGCAGCATGGAGGAGATGCAGAGTGTTTTTTCCAGGGAACAGGGGTTTTGCACATGAGTGGAAGGATGGGTATGATCACCCACTTCCCCAAAGACCCCCAAACCACCTCACCTATCCAAAGCTTATCTTCTTTTGTCTTTCCAAAATGGACCACCAAGAGTATTCTAGTGGAAGGTATCCCTGCCCATGGCAGGAGGGTTGGAACTAGATGATCTTTAAGGTACCTTCCAACCCAAACCATTCTGTGATTCAGAGATAACACTTTGTCTTGCTGGACCCACCAGCCTTCACAGCAGTACCCAATACCAGCCTAGCTGCAAACCATCTCTCTGGTTTATACATGTGGCAACTGAGTCACAGAGAAGCCTCCTTTGCTCTTAGACATCACTGGGGGCAGAAAAGCCTGGACCTGAGCTCAGCAGGTCTCTCTGGCACCCCAGAGGCTCACAATATCAGTTCTGGGCAAATAAACCCTGCTGGGGAGAGATGTTGACTGGGGCTTGACAGCCTTGGCGAAGGATGCCCTGTGCATTTTTAGGAATGCCTGAGAGCAGAGATGGTAGAAAGCAGCACTGAGGGACAAGGGGATGCATGCACTTACTTTCGGTCGCTTCCACTGGATGCCCTGAATCCTTGACTTGTAGAAGAGCGAGTCGTCATTGGCAGGGAAAAGTGGGTCCTCAAAGAGCTGCTTCCGCCGCTGACATTCCTTCTTTAGGGAGGCGTAGCGCTGGTTCTCGTATGGCTTCACCGAGGAAAACATTCTTCCCCACCAGCTCTGGAGGACAGGCAGAGCAGGAATGAGATGGGGCAGGGTCTGACCAGGAACACTCTGTCCTTTTCTGCAGCATCTGAGCAGCAGGACCAAGACCTTGTGGGTGAAGATAACCACCTCTAAGCCCAAGTGTACCTTGCTGATCCCTGGACATGGGACTACCATTTCTCACAGAATCACAGAATATTCTGAGTTGGAAGGGATCCACGTGGATCATCAAATCTATCTCTTAAAAGAATGGCCCACATGGGGATCAAAGCCACGACCTTGCCATTAATCACCACCATGTTCCAACCAACTGAGCTAATCTCCTCCCAGTTGGCCAAATATGACCAAAACAGGCATAGTAGTAGATGTTAACTGGTATCCTTCTTCTTAGTGAACTTGTAACTCATTTGGGAAAAACACAGCCCTCAGAGGCCAAGGAGGAAAAGACACCCCCTGTAAGATGGATGTGCACAGGTTTATGGGGGCTCCTCCACTGCACAGCCTCGAATCACGGATGTGCATTTCATAATTTTGTCAGAGACACAAATTTCTCAGTAGACTTTATCAGATCTGGTTTTAATTAAAAAAAGGCCTCCTGGCAGAGCACCACATGTTTCTAGATTAATTATTCTTTCTTGACAAACGCCTTGCTTCCAGGGCAGAGACACGAATTTAGTAATCCAGATGACAGCAGGAAACCATTGCCCAAATGTCCCCCAGAGAGAGAGCAGCACCTCTCCATTACTGCTCCACCACCCCTGCTCTTTGGGCACTAGGTACCAGCCCCTGGGTCCTCATCTCTCCACCCTGCAATGAGAGTCACCTTGTCCCCACACCAGGCACAAGGCAAAGGGGAGTTCTGCATTGTTCCTCTACTTAATTACAGACTTTTTCTGAAGCTCCTTCCCTGAAGTTTCTCTGTATTTATAACAGACATGTACAAACCTTATCTATCCCCAAAATGGGATGTTCTTTTTCAAATGCTGACCACTAGTGACCCTAACCTAGAAGCATCTAGTATGGTTTCCTAAAGAAATGGGAATTTGTGTGCCACATAACCACAGAATCATGGAATCGTTCAGGTTGCAAGAGACCTCTAAGGTACCTTGTCCAATTGCTAACCCAGCCCTGCCAAGTCCACCACTAAACCATGTCCCCAAGTGACACAGTCCCAACTGTAGTCTCCAATGTGGTAAAACTCAGGGTGCCCCATCCAGTGGGTGGATGCATCCAGCAAGCTGATCTCTCATTGCTCCTAGTGAGACATACAGAAACCATATGCTTACTGTGGTATTATCACTTGTCGTGGGATAACGAAGTTGTGATAATGGCTAATTGGAGGCAGCTAATTTGTAAAGAGACAAAATCCCAAGGATTATATAATCACATACAGTTGGGCATCAATTTAGGATGCCAGCATTCGTAAATTGATCCCTTGTTAATGAATCACTAGGATTAGCTGAAGAAAAGTAGGCGTTTGAGAGCTAAACAAATGCTCATTCTGGTCACAGCAGTGCTCCAAGAGCATCACCCACCCAGCCAGGCTTCTCTCCTCCAGGAGAGACCAAACCACATCACTTCTGCAAAGCTGAAGAGCAAAATACAGGTTTTAATTGACAGCATTTATCAGCCTGATTACCAGCACACAAGTGCTTATCACTCAGAGCTTAAGTGAACCCAAAATAATCCCCTTGTTGGCTGTTCCACAGGTCTCTGCTACTGAGGATCAGCTGCTAAAGCAGCTTGTGGGGTGCTTTGTGCCAGGCAGCCACCTTTCTCTAAATCATCCCCAGCACGTCCCAGCCCCAGCCCACAAGATGCAGCCACTGCAAATAGCTGTAAAAAGGGGCAATTAAGCTTTTAATTAAAAATAAGCTGAACTGCAAGAGAAGCACTCCTGCATAGGATGGAATGGGGCAACAGGCAGATGCATCTCCCATGAGAAGATCATAGATGCTGGATATCCGGCCAACAAACCACCTACCCCGAGAACATAGTGAACATTTAGTGATGATCCTCCAAGATTGCTGAATTGAGATTTTATAGTTTATAACATCTTAGCTTGCAGGCCAGAGACAGGGAGAGCAACTCTGCCTCCAGCACAAGAGCTCTCTTTGGAAACCAAGGCTAGGACCTGGCCTGCATAGGGCCAGTTACACAGATATTAATTCACACAGGGGCCTCTGAAGGCAGCTCAGTAATGCACTGAGGTGTTGTGGTATAAAGGGCTTATAGTGATGCTCCTGGGATTTTCTCCTTGGCATCAGCACCAGATGCTTTGCAGCATCTCAGATGCTACAAAGAGGCCCACATGCAACATCTGCCCTCAGAAAAGCCTTAAAAATAAATGGCCTGATATCAAAACTGAATAATAAACCAGATGCACTCATTTTAGAAAAGCTGAAAGCCTCATTGAGCAGTCAGGGAATGCACCCAGTAGTCCAATCCACCTAGCTAAGAGGGCTAGGGAAGGAGCTGGCCTTCAGATCTTTAGCAGAGGAAAGGGTAAAGGACAAGGGAGATGTACCCCCAGGGAGGTCATGGGGACATCTTGGCACCGAACAAGCTACTTTTGAGTGATTATCAGGTAGGACTTTCACAGTGACAGGGATTCACTGCTACAGAAAGACACAGAGGAAGCAGCAGTGCTAGGAAGGGATGGTTGGCAACTGCCTCCCACAGGAATACAACAGGCTGAGAGAGTAGAAGGATGCTGTTAGCTGACATGCAAGATGAACTGCTTGGACTGGTGCATGAGCTGGGCTGACATATGGGAAAGGATACTTCCATGGGAAGCTGTGCAGAAAGAAACAGTGAGATTTCGGAAGGGAGCCTGGAAAGGAGGGGAGGAGGGAGGTCTGGTGACTTTCTAAAAGCCATGCTCAAGTTAAGGCAGGAGTTTTGGGTTTGATGTGGGAGATGCTGCTCTGCAGCCTGTACCATGGCCAAGGGCTGGCACTTGGCTGCTCATTCATAAAATTACTGCTCCACCCTGCAGCTTGGAGCTGTGCTTTCCAGTGACCCTTGCAACACCGATTTTCACGAGACACCCTCAGCAGTGTCCATTCCTATGAGAACAAGACTGCGGTCACCTCAGCCAAGGAGTTCCAGCCCTTCTGGTGCCCAAATTTGCCTGAATTCTGCCCTGCTATCCTACCCCACAGCGACTGTCACCTCACCAGCCATCTGTCCTCACTGCAGGGCTGCTCTCACATAATGGCATGTAGATGGATTTAAGTTGCAAAGGAAACACTAAGCAGAAGGTGAAGGGATACTGTTCAGGATAATTAAAAAAAAAACAATCAACAACAAAACCACCTTGCAAAATAATTAAAAGGAAGGTGTGGTGGGAATGTTCTTAGGGCAATGTTAAAATTCATTACTCTCCCTAATTTGCAGCATTTCATGCTTACCAGGCTGAACATCAGCTCTGCCAAATTAAAATGCCCAAGGACTGTCTAATTATTCTTTGCCTTCTTGCACCAAGATCAGATGCTCCAGGGGCATGAGAACTGGGCATTTTCACGCCTGGTTTGAATTAACAACCCTATGCTTGCATATGCACGTGTTTGTATGTCAGCAGGAAGGGGAATCTGCACTCACCACTCTTAGCAGAGCTGAATTTTTGGAAACAGTGTTCTGATCCAAACCTCAGTCTTGCCATGAAGGAGTTAAAGATGAAACTATTTTGTTGGAGGACTAAGCCAGACTTATGACTCAGGGGTGTTGGGGACTCCCCTTTTCACCTCCAGCATCATGCAGGTGTTGCAGCTTCTGCCAACTGGTAACAATCAGGGCTCTAAGTGCTGCAACAGGGAGAAGGGTTGAAAGTGCTTGCATTGGCCAGAACCACATACTTGCTGAAAGGCTCTTCCTTCCTCCCCCACAAAATTCTTCCTCTCTCCTTCCCTTCCAGCTCAGAGGCTCCTTTACCACTGAGAGCTTTCATGGGCTCCACCACACTTGTGTTTCTGCAAGGCTGCATCCCAGCCAGGAGCAAATGGCTCCTTGCTTGTAGATCCTACAAGCTGTCTGCCTCTAGGTCAGACAAAACACTTTGTTCTTAGAGGACAGGATTTGCTGCCCTTGTTTTCCAGCGTGGTTCTCACTAAACAGGAGATAGCTTTGATATCACATTGCAAAGGCATAGAATCAGCCAAGGAGAAGATGAAGCAGAACCCAGGCATTTGATTGCCCAGTCTTCAACCTACAACACTGTAGCTCAGTAGTAGGGTGTTCAAAGCATCCAGGCTTTTTCTAAAAATGTTATTTAAATAATTTTTTCCAGCCTCCTTGGGTGTTTCTACTGACAGACATGGGGTAACACCAGGGTTATCCTACCTACCAATACAAAAGTCCAGCTCATGAGAGGAAACCCTGTTAATGCAAGAAGAGCTTTATACACCTTTTCTCCAGGACTCAGGGAATAAGCAGCTGAACCATCACTCACTGTCTACACTGAACAGAAGATAAGCACTCCACACCTCTTAGCCAACAACTCTATGCCAACAATGAACAAAAAAAGCTTTAAGACATCTTAGAGTCATAGAATGGTTTAGGTTGGAAGGGACCTTCAAGATCATCTAGTTCCAACCCCCATGCCACAGCTTCTCTGGGCAACCTGTGCCAGTGCCTCATCACCCTCAAGAGCTACAAAGTAAGAGTCGTAAGGAAAAGCCATCAGGACCAGTAGCACATCATCCACAGCAGGTCTAAGCTGCGTTTCCAAAGACCTTTCCCACTCCCAGCTGTGCACGTACTGTAGCTTTTCTTTGGACTCCAAGTGCTGTGGCCCAGAGCCAGAACCACAGTGCAGCATCCTGCATTAGCAATGCCCACAAGGAGCGGAAGCTGAAGCCACACTGATGGAAATTAGAAAATAAGATCTCATTTCTTCTCAAATTGACTGAGGTTAACCAGGGAAGCCGATTCCTATGGGAAATTACAGGTAGCTCATCTCCAGATGTTTCTGAGCTCAGCTGGACATCTTTCCAGAGGAGATTCTTTATCCAAAA